TTTTCGTCACAGTGCACCTCGGGCATATGCTGTAACCTTTGGCCTCCGAATACAAGCCTTGCTACGGGAAAGCGAAATTCCCATTCGAAGGTTGAAGCGGGTAGGTCATCTGTGCACTGCTCCCTGGCGTATGATCTCGCCATCAATAGATACGTCTTTGACCGAAATGAAAAAGCATGTCGTCTTGCCAGATATAGTGAAGTCAAGGGCACTTGAGCGTATGGCGTCATATCACGGTTACACACTTACTTACACGGACGGATCGAAAACTTCCGGCGGTGGCCAGGGCTGGCCAGGTGGGCTGTGCGTTCGTGAGCGGTGGCGTCATCCGGTCGTTTTCTCTGTCTCCACACGCGTCGGTGTTCACATCGGAGTTGGTAGTGATCACCAAGGCGCTGTGTTTCATCGAAGTCGGTGATGAACCTTTACATCTGATTTTGACAGACTCTCTGAGCAGTGTTCTTAGTCTGAGGTCTTTTTATCCATCATGTCCCCTTGTGCAGGATATTTTAGAACGTTTGACTCAACTGGATGAGGCCCGAAAGAAAGTTATTTTGTGTTAGATCCCCAGTCACATTGGAATCGCCGGCAACGAGGTGGCTGACGCGGCTGCAAGGCGAGCAGCGCTGGCTCCATGTGTACGCTCTCTCTCTCTGCCCCTGCCAGTGATTTTTACCCTGCAATAAAAACCTTTCTGCAGAATGAATGACAGCGTTGTTGGGATGGGATAAATGAAAATAAGCTCAGAGCAATAAAACCCAAGCTGGGCCAGTGGTTATCATGTTCTCGCAAGTCAGGCAAGAAGAGGTGGTGCTCTGCAGACTACGCATTGGGCATACGTATGCAACTCACGGTTATTTGTTGCAAGGAGCCGAAAGACCTATCTGTCGTCGATGTGGTGCTGTTCTCACCGTTCGTCATGCGCTTGTATCATGTCCGCGCCTCATGGAAGAACGTCGACGATACTTTGGACAGCGTGACTCGTCCTTGGACGCTCTGTGACATTTTAGGAGACAACTCGCGCCTTCTTGAATCTAAACAGGTATTTTTATTCTTTAAACATATCAACTTCGGGACTCTTTACACGGTCCATTAGTTAGGTAAAGCAAAAATCGTCATGGGCGCCAAATGACCACCGCAGTCGGCGCGCCCGAAAACACCAATCAACGATAAAATTTTATTGAAGTGGACGATAGCAATCTGCATTTAATTCTTTCCGACTCCTTGAGCAGCCTCCTGGCTGTTGGCGGCTTTTCCCCGTTGAATCCACTGGTCCAGGACATTCAATCTCGTCTTAGCTCACTGGATCGAGCAGGAAAAACGGTCGTTCTATGCTGGATCCCAAGTCACGTGGGGATATGCGGAAATGACCTTGCTGACGCGGCAGCAAAACGCGCTACGACAGGGACTAGAATTCCTATAACACCACTTCCTGCTCAAGACATGTATCCCGCAGTGTCGCTGTTTATGCAGAAGCGATGGCAGTTCCACTGGAACTCGCTGAGCGCCAACAAGCTGCAGTCGGTGAAACCCCACATTAGATTATGGCAGTCGTGCTTTCGGGACAATAGGGTGGAATATGTTGCCCTTTGCCGGCTACGCCTAGGTCACACACATGCTACGCACCGTCGCCTGCTATTGGCTGGCGACAGCCCTATATATACATATATATATATATATATATATATATATATATATATATATATGTGTGTGTGTGTGTGTGCGTGTGTGTGTGTGTGTGTGTGTGTGTGTGTGTGTGTGTGTGTGTGTGTGTGTGTGTGTGTGTGTGTGGGTGTGTGTGTGTGTGTGTGTGTGTGTGTGTGTGTTTTGCATACGACTTGTCTTAAACTGCAATGACCAAAATGCAAGTGGAGTCGGCCCCGATCTCCAGCGGCCCCCACAATGCTGCGTAGCCTCTCCCCTTTGACGAAATCCTGGATCCACTCCTGGCTAAACATGTCATGCCACGTTACTCATGCGTGCTTCGCCCAGGCTTGTGCTTGATTCCAGTTAAATCCGATTCTGGAATCGATTCAACTTTAGACGGAACGGTATCAGACACGGCCTTATTGGTTATTCAGATGAATCGAGCTCGAAGCTGATTGACGTACTTACATGGGCGTCCGAGAATAGTTCGAATTTGGACCAAAAGTGATAATCCAGCTGTAGACCAGCGAGAAAGGCAGCGAGGAAAGGTGCGTTAGCAGGGGAGGAGACAGGGCAGGGAAACGGAGCGGCAGAAGACATGGATCAGGAGGTGTAGACGCAGCCCGGCGCCGAGATAGGGAAACAGGAACACGAAACCTTGAAACAGGTGACTACAGGTGGGAATCTGGGCGCGGTCATGCGACTCGGGCCACAAAAGCCTCCCTGAACGGATGATCATCTCATGGGAAAGGGTTTCAACCGGTGCGTGATTCGACTGAACCGAACGTCGCGCGGGTGTTTACATGGGCCCGATCATTCAGATCGAGGCCGAGTCCCAGCTTGCCCCGCATCACCGCTGTCCATGTAAGTAGCACAATAGTTTGCGACAGGATCGGAATTGGCTCCGTACCACTTTGAAATGCCCGGTTCAGAAGACGATTAAACCACAAGTGTCTGGGGCATCCACACAGCTGTTGTTATCTTGCACATCGCGAACTAGTCGGCTAGTATGCTATAACATGTAAGGTAACAAACTAATATGCAACATGTCTACCCGGAATGCGGAGACCGTGATTGAGAAATTTGAGCTATTATGACCTCCAAAGTAAGGTCATGGATTTAAGGACAGACTGGCTTTCCCTGTGAACCTGGACACATCCGTGCATAAGTTACCTTAAATAGGTCGGCATTCATGTACCAAGACGTTCCTTGTTCAAAGTTGGTACGCGGGGTAATCAGGTCCCATCTGCTCGCTCATACAAGCACAGTATCTCTTGATTGCATGCGTGCAGCCCATTTGTGGGTGGAAATACGGCCTCCTGACGCAAACCGGCCAGGTTGAAGACCCCTGCATCGCACGACCGGAGGCCGCGACCCGACCCGTGACACGTCACAGCACCATCCCGCTTCCAGCAAATCCCTCACGAAGAGCAGCTGGCTTCCCAGGCCCACGCTGAAACTCTTCCGCTGACCGGTTACGTCTTGAACCAAGGGCAGTGCAAAAAGCTGGCCGACCAGGCTGGGCGGGTATGGGAGTATTTTTGGCTGAAAATATTTTGCATGTCTCTATGATTGGTTGAAAAAAGTTGAACACTGAGTGGCGCAATTGTGGGCAGGCATCTATTTTTGCTTCCTTGTCAGCCGCTTCCGTTTTTTTTTCTCAACAGACTACCGACGCGCAGACTGACATTATGCTCGTGGATAGGCTCATAAGCCATGCAAGCGCATACATACAATATGCATTGGAGTTGGTCCCCTGGGGGGTGGAAGTAGGAGTCCCCTCCCCACTTCTCAGGAGTTGGAGAGCTTGAGTTTTAATTTGTTTCTTTCCATGCAATGCTATAGGGTTAATTTTACTTTGTTCAAGATGTAGTAGCAGTGAAAAAGTGACAGTACCACTATGGCACTGAAGAAAACGAGGCCCGTCGCTCGTCTCTTCCGTCCCACAGGTCTTCGTCATTCCTGGCAGAGCACGGGACTGGACCCAATACGGTGTCGCATTGTGCACCGTCGAGGCTAGCAGGGGGTGGGGGTACGCAGTAACCAAGTGGCTGGCGGCTTCGGTTCTCACGTGTAGGTCTGCGTTCAAATCTCGGTTGCACACCTGAGCGCTTATATAACCGCCGGAGTCATTGACACTCAACGCAGGGGTGCACGACCACGTTCGCTCCGTGTTCTCATAAAGGCAGACGATTGCGTAGGTAGAGCTTGAGTGCATCCGCTTTCTTACCAACGTTCCCTGCTGCATCTCATGTTGTTGATATACTTAGTGGCGCCGCAAGTCAGCTGGGGTCGTGAGCCAGCAGTCGGAGACGGCCCCGGGCGCGTGAGGCCCGCCCGGCCACCTGCACAATCCTGACTGGTTTGTTTTTCTTGTACGTGGTGTGACACGGCCTAGTTGGGCGGGAATGGGCCGGGCGCAGGGCGGTAGGTTTTGCTCGTCGGCCCGCCGCGGGCGGCAGGCAGCCAGCGTCGTTGGCAGGCCGATGCTCGGGATGCAGAGCCGGCGCTCCCAGCGCCGCAGCCGCCGCCAGACGCTGCTCAACCCTGCCGCGCGGTGTCAGCACCCGGTGCCGCCAGCCACCGACCAGCGTCCATTGTAGTCCATTGTAGTCCATTAGTAGTCCATTGTAGTCCATAGCGTCCATTGTAGTCCATCATTGTAGTCGTCGCGCCCGAAACATCAATGAACAAATCTGCACAGTGATGCCCAAAAAGAGAGTGACTGAATAGAGAGTCATGTGCGAATCATGGGCTCTCAACACAACCACCAAGCCGGGTAGGTCACCAACAGGCACCAGCTACCCCAGATTCACAGTTTGTCGACCAATCTGCAATATGCCTGGCACTATAACTTGCCGCTGGGGCTTCGCAGCCATGGCGCCACCTCTCAGCGCGCCATAAACGCCACCTTCCGGGAGGTTGGTCAACTCAAGTCGTTTCCCCCGCAGAACAACGCCGCGACAGGGTACGTGGTGTATGTCTTCGGCTCGCTGTGGGCCACCTCTCACCTCCGCCCTGGGGGCCGATGAAGATGACGTTGACGATGGATCAAGGAGTGCCACGCCTCTCACCCCTCCAGGGTTCGTCATGCAATGATATGATCTTGTCGTCCCGGCTAGCGGTTTCCCTGTACCTGGCGACGAGCCGCGACGCCCAATACGAAGCTCGGCTTCACACCCAGCTGTGGGCGATGACCGGCTTCCGCCGCGCCCGAACGGCCGTCTGCCAACCCCAATCCGACGGCATGGTGGAGCGCCTTAACTGCACCATGAGGACATCCCTTACCGCTCGACGTCAGCTGCGGCGGGCGTCGCCGCCCATCGTTCTCCAGGCTATCCACGATTCTGCACCGTGCCGAGCGCGAGTGACCACTCACCGTCTGCTGCTGTGACTGGCGGCCGTCTGCTGAGGCCGAACACAGGTGTGGATGGCAGTCATCGCCGTTGTAACGCCGGTTTATTCCGAGCCATAGCTCATTTTGTATCTGTGTGATAGCTAGCGACATCTCTTGAGCCATTTCGCGACACCCTGCACGTTGGCCACCGATATCCGAGTTTGAATGTGTGAATCTACCATTACCTGAGAGGACAAGCAAATAAACTGGAAAAAATGCCCTGTAACAACGGATCATGATGTAATAGCTCTAGCATACTCAGAGCCATTTTTCACGAATATTAAGTCCGTCTCCAGTCTATGTACAAGCAGGTAACCATTTTCAACCATTAAATTTGTAATCGGTTGTTCGTAAATCGGGTTGAAGCTGCCGTCATTGTTCTGGACTCCCGGCTGTACGTACTCCACCATCACGATCTGCAACAAAGCAGTGTGCGCGGCAACTGTCAGCGTACGCTCTCTCTCAAGCGCTGCATGGGCTCTGGACACACGCGGCAGTGAGGCGCCTTGGCATTGTGCTGTGTGGAACGTACGAGTTGGTGGCAGACGGAAGCATTACGTGAATTATCAGACCAAAACACGAGGAAAATAGGCTTTGCAATGATATTAGTGCATTAAAATGCACATCCTCCATGATGATTCAGAGGCAAAAGACTCATTAATTCGGTGTTTTTGCGCTAATTAACGCACCACATTGCTTGACAACTCGCTGTCTCTAATATATATATATATATATATATATATATATATATATATATATATATATATATATATATATATACATATATATATAATAACTAATAAAATCCCTAATATCTAATACCTAACATATAGTCTCTAACATCTGAAATAACCAATGTTTGCTCTATAGCTTCGTTTAACCAACACCTCCTTGCATAACGAAAGGTCGCGAAGTCATCGTAAGAGCTCTGAACTCATAAGACCAAAATCGTTTCCATGAAAATACATTCGTCCTGTTTTCTTCTTATGCTCATACCTGATGCCATTTTACCTGGTACCTCACATTTCAATCGCGTCATTCCCTCCAAATACCTTCTAGACGACAGAGGGTGGCGGCGAGGGTCTTAGACAGCATGGTATGAGTGGTCTTATAAGGCCTTATGTAAAGATATGAACTCCTTCAGAGTGCTAAATAAGAACCGTTTAAGATTATCTGAGTGATGAGTGTGCAGACTTCTCTGAAACCATTCAAATGTTATTTGGGGCCATTCTGAGACGGGGTGATGCGTTGAGAATATATGGCCTCCCCTCTTTGAAACCAAACAAACCGGACGCAAACCTTGTTCGGAATATTGGCTACAACAAAATTTACGTTATTGAAAACGACCTTTTTACTTTGACTTTTAATGATGTTTGTTTTTGTTTTAATTTTGAATGCTAAAGAACGTGTCACACTTTTCGTGGCATATTACAAAAACATCTGCTGAAACCTCAGGAACAGTTATGTCTGCTATATAATGAGGGAGTTGATTGTGAGAGTGCGATATTTGGAGGCTATCACAAAAGTCCTCCGCGATGGATGCACTTGACGAACTTATAGTGCACGTGCTGCTGGAAGTTGTACTTTGGCCGCAAAAAACACAATACAACATTTATTCGACTAAATTTCAAGCACTCAAAGCTGGTCAGATGTAGTAACTACCATGACACGCCAAACAGCAGTGTGCACCAGGCTTCGGAATAGGGGGGGGGGGGGCACAAGTTAAATCGAATTCAGCCTGCCTTGCGTGGCGTTAAACAGCAGCACATGTTCTCGATCTTCTTATTCTTACGCGTCATCTCAGCGCCCACAAACAATCGGGTTTTATACAGTTGGAGGCATTCAGAAATGGATTGCCTTCTTGTAGTTTCGCCACCTGAAAGCACTGAAACCTTGTATCTCGATTGCCGACCAACGAAAACGCTTAGCATTTCTCCAAAGCACTCTCTTAAAGCTTCTTACGGGGCAGACTACAACTGTCACGCGGTCTTGGAATTTTGCGTTAGATACAAGACAGACGGTTGGAAAAAAGTTCAGCCTCCGCTTAAAAGTATGCAGCAACTATAGCCGAAAAAGTCGAGTGCCTTTCATAACCTGCCCTACACGAATTGGGTGAAAATATTATTGAATAAATATTATTGACAGGCCATATTTGGGCAGGCCTCCGGAGTAAATCGCCAGAGGCCATGTTGCTGTGACTCACTGGAGATGTTCGCATCTGTTATCTTCTGGCACCTGTTTTGGCAAATAATACCCGTGGGACGGACGTTCCAGCCGTCCCGCCACCTGTCACGCATCTGACCTCTAAGGTCAACTGCAATAGGTCAGCTCTCTCAAGTTTGTGTTGGAGCTCTGCAATGACCATCTTTTGCGGTCTTTTCAGCACAATGTAGATGAGTTTTGGTATCCCGAAGCTTCCAGTCTTGCGATCCTGCATCTGGCAGCAAGGGCCGGACGCCAATAACTGGCCAGGCACTCGGACTCATTTAAGAACTTATTAATTGCTTCCATTTAACGCCTTTTTGTTTACAAAAATGGCAGTCTTTGGCGTACAACTGTTCTCAATAGCTGGATAGTACCTGCACTTTAATGTCAGTTGCACGTTGTCAGAGCGCAAAAGTTACGCTACCCAGCCTTGCTTTAGATAATGGCTCTCATCCCACTGTATATCATTTAAGAACTCTTGTAACGAATGCCGGGAGCTTTGACATTGTAACTTCGAATCGCATACCTCCGCATTTCACGTAGAGGGCCAACTATGACGTAATGCACAACAGGCACTGACATGTGGCAAGTCTAGAAACAGCATCCCTCAATAGAGCAGGTGACGGAACATTACCTTGATATCGACCCTGTTCCAGGGTATGGTGTGAAGCACCAGTGAGTCGATCCCCTCCACGTCCAGGGTGAGCAGATCCAGCGTGGTGAGGTCGCAGGCCAACAGGATCGTGTAGAGCGGAAAGCACTGCTTCAGCCGCAGTTGGCTGTCTAAGTCGGCCCGCTCGAATTCTGGCTCAACGTAGGACACCAGTGTGCCCGGATTATGCTCGAAGCCAAACTGTAAAAACGGGAGACAGCTGGAAAGACACGACGGAGTGGAAGCTGGCTGGTGTGCATGGCGTGACAAAAACATTTTGCTGAAGAAGATGAGGGCAAAAACGGGAACAGATTATCAGGCACCGCTCGCCCCGTGAAGGAAAACCAGCCCCAATTTTCCCAGAAACTGCAACAGTTCGGAAGTCAAAATTTTCACAGTGCCTTGGTCTGCAGGCTACCCGAAACTCTTTTCCCAAATATGCAGACCGAAATCGATGCCGCTTGGTTCAAATCAGCTCCATGCGCTACAGCGAACCAAATCAGAAGTATTTGCGTGATTGCAGTGCTGCAGGCCGACAGCCCTGTGCAAAACAGGGGCCGTTCCCTGCATGAGCGGTGAGGAGGCTCTGTCGATGAGGAAGCCCATGGACCAGATCAGGAGCGCATGCCATGTGTCGGTGATAAAAGTCCCATTGAAGTCATGCACATTTCCATCTGGCTTTACAATCAAATTTTTGTGAGTTGTTTAACGGAGCACGGGGATTTCTAAACTTTCGAAAATGAGGCACGGATCTCATTAAAGCTGTAAAGTATCCCAGACAGTTTGCTGAAGCTCGCTATCGCCTACTGGTTATTCCGGACCGACGACGTTGACGGGACCGTTTATGGACCGTTCATGGGCCCTTAAGCGACCGGCAGTATGGGGCAGGGCTGCAGGATCGTCGAAGGAACTGATGAACGACATGAAGTTGCAATGATTTCGATGACGACACTTGTAACCTGAATGTTTTACAAAAAAAAAACAATGCGTATCTGACTCTTGTCGCATTTTTCGCAATTGCCTACATTGCATCTACAGAGCCGCGAGTCAAAAATCGCACTACACGGAGCATTCATCCGACCCAACCACTGCGACATTCCGTGAGCTTGATTAGAAGGAGTTCGCTTGGCTGCTTGCCTCGTTTCAAGGCAATGAGATGAAAAAGGTTGGGAAGCAAAGCATTGCAAACAGCGCCGCAGGTTGGTCATGACAGCATCGTCTTACTGTATCGTCCCCCAAACGCGACGTGGGTACTCGTCTGTCATAGACCAGTTTTAAATAATTCAGAATGTTAATGGTTTGGGTGGCACGGATGTCTGTGCAGTTGTGAGATGAGGCAATGATTACAGAATACCTTCCGCAAAATTTCATTAATCTATCTGGCCTAAATCACGGGGAAGATATCACTCCGATAGTGTTAGGGAGTTGGCTTAGGGACTTGATGTAACTGATCCGTTTTCGTTCCTAAGATAACCGATATAACAAAAGGTGTACGTCTCAGAGTTCTGAATTTTGAGCTTGGGCCTGATGTGCAGGCGCCAGGTTGAAAGAAGGGATGGCTCAGGGAGCTATATGTGCACAAAGGTTAATTCTTAATTTTTCTTTTAAATCTTCATTTGACTGTCTACAGTTAGGTCAGGCTGATCAAAGGTCATGTTCGTTGATGACCGGCAGAATATATTTGTGTCCAATTGTACAGTGGAAATCATTTTGACGTCAATAAGGGTCCCTATATTCAGTGTGCCATATCTTCAAAGTTTTGGGAACCCGAGGTTTGTGGAAAGGGCAACATGAAAATGGAACACTAAAAACAAGTGGGTCAATTCCAGTGATATTGTATTTTAAAAAGTAGATTTAGGTTCTTGAAAATGGTGGCGCCTCGCAAACAGCAGCCGATTAGATAATTTCTGGTTCCTCTTGTGCTCCAGCCTCATGACGTATGTATATATATATATATATATATATATATATATATATATATATATATATATACAGAGCCCCCATTGGCGTCGGCTGGACGGATGATGCACCCACCTCTTGTGGGTACCGAGCCGGGGAGACACAAGCGTTTAGCGTCACCGCTCTCCTGTGCCTCAGCAGCAGATTCTTATAGTTCCAGTCCTCGGCCTCGACAAGGACGCCGGTCCAGTCCTGCGGGCACCAGTTTTAAGAGTGTGAGAACAGGGGAAGCAAATATGGATATAGTCCATCGGGCATATTAGAGCAATGATGATTTAGGCAGAGGAGACGAACAAGTTTGCATTGTGTTCATGATGTTGCCAACAATGTAGTTGATGCTTGAATTTGTGGATTTTTGGTTCTTGGTAAGGACTGGAATCAATGCAATGATCTGCAAAACTAGGTAGCTTTTGCGTGAGTACATAAACACCAAAACGCGGACTGTTTGCACTTGCATGGATGAGTGAGTAACATTGCCTGTGGACTGTGAAGTTCAGAGGCACTTTGAGTCGCTTCTTTCCATTTAAGGCTTCATCTACTCCCCCAACCTTCCCCACGACCGCGAAGTTAGCACACCTATGCTTGCATAGATATCACGTCACAAATGCTGTTAAAATAGCCAATAGTTCTTAGAAATTGGAAAGCTTCTCGCCTTACCAAAAACCGTTCAAAGTAGAGAGTGTTGCTGTGAATTTCCCCATCGTACGCGCCTGCTTCAAAGAACGTTCCGCCTCTCTGAAAAAAACAAGAACATTTACGCTACGCAGCACGAACTGTTGATGGCAGTGATATAATCGGCGGCACTTCTCAAGGCAGGTCTTGGATGGTACCGGTGGGAGACGGTCGATGGTACCGATGGAAGGCGGCCAGTGGTACCGATAGGGGGGCGACCGATGGTACCGATGGAAGGCGGCCGGTGGTACCGGTGGGAGGTGGCCGGTGATGCCGACGTGAGGCGGTCGGTAGTACTGATGACAGGCGGCAGATGGCAGCGATGGGAGGTGGCCAACGGTGCCGATGGCAGGCAGCCACTGGCACCGATGTTGGACGGACGCACGACTGACCTTACCAGCCACCAGCCGCCGCAGATAGGCCAGCTGCCCGGCCTGAGAGGTGTCGTTGAGGTCGCCCCTCTGCAGTCGGTACGGCTGCGAGGAGGGCGCGTTGAGCAGCCGCCGGACATGCTGAACCAGGCGCGGCTCGTCCATCGCCATCCGCAGCGGCGCCCGCATTAGGTCACCGTAGGTCAGCGGCAGTTGGTCGGACATCGGGTCACCTGGCGACAGCGGCGCCTTCATTTCACGTGAGTCACCGTACCGTAAGTTAACGAACACAGGCCGCTTCCGCGTTGCCGCTGCCGTTTGCAGTTCGACCAGAGGGGTTTGATTATAGAAATGATCGCCAGTGACGTTGCTTCAAGACAAGGTTCTAGGATAGGTATATACAGCGGCATACATTACTTTAACAGTGAGTGCGTGCGTGCGGGCGCACGTATGTGTGCGTGTGTGTCGGGGCGACCACATATGTGTGTACAAGTGTGCATGTGTGATATGAATCCTTCACTTTAAAACCAATGGCGGCAAGCGGAAGGATGAGTTCAGGTTACAAACTTACGTGGCGTCAGAAACACGGAGCTGATGATGAATAAAACGGCGAGGCTGACGGCGGCAGCCGTGAGCCCTTTGCAGATGCTTCTCATCGTCTGCAAACATGCAATTATCATTAACTTTTTATTTGGTTATTTCTGTAACAGTTTAAGGTGCGAGAGTTCTGTTTTTAAGGGAGCATTTCCTCTATGCGCCTGGTTATGAGTTGCCGCATTATGCCAGCACTGGCAGCTCGCAGTCGTGGGTGGCATGAGCATCTGGGACATATTCTCATGCGCCATGACCCAGGTTACGGTTTCAAATTCATTGTCAGGTGCCGACCCTGCAAAACGCAAGACTATTATGCTTCCGATTGCTCGACATGCAGGCGCAATACTAGCAGAACGATATTTCGGTCAGGCACCGTATCTACAGCATTGTTTAAGAGTATTGCACAATAGCGTCAGACGCGGGCAGTACACTACGGGGATTTCGAGATCCCTGCAACAGCGGCCCTGACGGGTACTGAAGGCTCGTTTCCATGCCAGTTGGTGCCGGGCGCGGACGCAGGTTCTGTTTGGACCCTTCTGGTGAGCGTGCGCGACGCCCCCCCCCCCCCCACCCCCGGTGGCACTCCATGGATCTCCTTGCTTAGCACGAGCTACCAAGAAAGTATCTGATTGTTACCTTTGTGCCCTAAAATGTGTTATATCTGTCTGGTTACTGGTGTGCCGCCAACAATAAGAAGAAAAATGATAATAATGTAACTTGTTTCACGCCACCAGGTTGGTACACAATTTTGCACACGCAGGTATAAAAAACACACACACAAACACGGAGCAAGACAGCAGGCAAGACACTCGAACTTGCTTGACTTATCAGAGGACCTTACCCAGGGTCAAGGCCTAATTTGCGCATTTGGTGGCGATCGCGGATAAACCGACCCAGGTGGGCGATGAGGATGTCCCGAACATCTCGCCTGCTAACTACCACGAGGTTCAATCCACGAGACGGTACCTATACTCACAGCCTTGATAAGCCTGACTGCTGTCCTCCCCGTCAGCTAGCACCGGCCTGGTGAGATGTTCTTGGCGTTCCCGCCGTGTCACGATCAGTTAATAGCACCTGCACAGTGGACGCTGGTCGGTGGCTGCCGGCACCGGACGCTGACACCGCGCGGCAGGGTTGAGCAGCGTCTGGCGGCGGCTGCGGCGCTGCGAGCGCCGGCTCTGCATCCCGAACATCGGCCGGTCAGCGACCCTGACTGCCGGCCGCCCGCGGCGGGCAGACGAGCAAAACCTACCGCACTACGCCCGGCCCACTCCCGCCCAACTAGTGTCTAGGCTTAGGCAGTGTCACACCCCGTGCAAGGAAAACAAGCCAGTCAGGGTTGTGCAGGTGGCCGGGCGGGCCTCATGCGCCCGGGGCCGTTTCCGACTCCTGGCTCACGTCCCAGCTGACTTACGACGCCACTAAGTACATCAACAACACGAGATGAAGCAGTGAACGTTGGTACGAAAGCAGATGCGCTCAAGCTCTACCTATACAATCGTCTGCTTTTGTGAGAGCACGGAGCGAACGTGGTCGTGCACCCCTGCATTGAGTGTCAATGACTCCGGCGGTTATATAAGCGCTCAGGGGTGCAACCGAGATCTGAACCCAGACCTACACGTGACAACCGAAGCCGCCAACCACTTAGTTATTGCGTACCCCCAATCCCCTGTTATCCCCGACGGTGCACAATGCGATACCGTATTGGGTCCAGTCGCGTGCTCTGCCAGGAATGACGAAGACGGGTGGGAGGGAAGAGACGAGGGACAGGCCTCTTCCTCTTCAGTGCCATGGTGCTACTGTTGCTTTTTCATCTTGGACAAAATAAAATTAACCCTATGGCGCTGCATGGAAAGAAACAAAGTAAAACTCAAGCTTTCCAACTCCTGAGAAGTGGGGAGGGGAGCACCGTACTGCGTTTGACTACGCTCCAACTTCAGCATCACATCACATAACTCCAATGCATGTTGTATGTATGCGCCTGCATAGCTGATGACCCTGTCCACGAGCATGATGTCAGCCTGTGCGTCGGTATTCTGCCGATAAAAAACCGAAGCGGCTGACAGGGAAGCGAAAACAGATGCCTGCCCACAATTGCGCCACTCAGTGTTCAACTTCTCTCAACCAATCATAGAGACATGCAAATGATTTTCAGCCAAAAATAGTCCCATCCCCGCCCAGCCTGGTCGACCAGCTTCTTGCACTGCCCTTGGTTGAAGACATAACCGGTCAGCGGAAGAGTTTCAGCGTGGACCTGGGAAGCCAGCTGCTCTTCGTGACGGGATTGCTTGACGCGGGATGTGGGACGTGCTCTGACGTTTCACGGGTCGGGTCGCGGCCTCTGGCGGTCGGCTATGCAGGGGTCTTCAACCTGGCAGGTCTGCGTCAGGAGGCCGTATTTCCATCCACAAATGGGCCGCACGCATGCTTTCAAGAGTTACTGTGCTTGTATGAGGGAGGAGACGGGACATGATTATCCCGCATACTAACGTTGAACAAGGAATGTCTTGGTACATGAATGATGACCTGTTTGAGGTAACTTATGCACGGATGTGTCCAGGTTCACGGGGAAAGCCAGCCTGTCTTTTGGCCTCTTTTCACGGTTCACGGGGAAAGCCTCAACACCCGCGCGACGTTCGGTTCATTCGAATCACGCACCGGCTGAAACCCTTTCGCATGAGAGAATCATCTGTTCAGGGAGGCTTATGCATGCATACAGATAGAGGTCACTTATTTTCTACAGATCATTTTTAATGCTGTGATTTTGAGGCTAAGTGTTTCGGAACAACAGGCAAAATAAACTTGAGTTAGCTGCTAACACCCACCAAAACCAGGTATGGACTTGATTCCGAGCATATGTATTTGTGGCTAGCCGGCTGGGCGATGTAATCAGCTGATGGCTGGTGCTACCGCATAATTTTTCCTTTGTTATAAAGGAGTACTACATATCCTAGCGTTCAAAATATGTTAAGAACGTGATTCACTAGCATAACGAGTGTCACACACTCAAAAGCCAATGGAAATAACATATACGACGTCGGATGAATGTAAAATTACATTCGGTAATTGCGCGTAGGAATTCATCGGCGTGTATTCGACTGCTGCTCTAAGGCGAAGGCACCAAGGCCAAAAGGGACGGAACCTGAGCGATCATGAGTGCCACAGGAGAGAAAACAAAGTGGCTCCCGTCGACAAGTATAGGGAAATCAGAGCAAGCAAAAAAAAAAAACCGAAAGACCAACGTGTTGGGCCCATGAACGACCGGTAGTGCCTGGGCAGGCTGACATATGGGGCCCCAGCCATAGCACAAGACCCTCCGAGCAAAAGGGAATTATCTAAGACCATAAATTAATACCCCTGCGTAATCAAGGGTGCACGGCAGGTTAACAACACGACCCTCGATAGGAGTAAAAGTTATCCGCAAATGAGACAAAAGGGAGGGACCTCTCGATCAAAGTAGAGGGACCCTGAGTATCGAGTATCTCCATGTCTTACCTTATAGGAGCCCTAGCAACAGCACAAGGCCCTCCAAGCAAGTGGAAAAAACCGAGATTTAAATGAAGGACCCCTGAGCAGCTGAGTGTACCCTGGCATATGGAAAGTACCCCAAGAGCAAATTGGAAAGCTCCTTAGCGATCGGATTGACCGGGCAAGTTAACATATAGGGCCAGGCAACCAACCACGTAATGCCTCTAGACAGCGTAATGAGCTCCAAAATTTCCCGAAGCAACACTTTCTCATCAGCGAAGAATGAAATTATGGGTTAACAGATGGGATCCTGGCAATAGCGCAGGGCATTCCGTTCAAATATGAAATACCCACGACACAATGTACATGGCCCCGAATAATCGAGTGCGCCAGAGCAGGTTAACAGATAGGGCCCCCAAAAGAGCGGAGGGCCCTCCATTAAAAAAGAAAGCATCAAAACCAGATGAAGAGGTTCTCCACCATCGAATGATCCCAAAAATCTTATCACAAGGGGCCCCGACAGGGGACGTAAGACCCTCCATTCAAATAAGAAGTGTCCAAAAGGCCCAATATAGAGGGCCCCCGAACGATCGAATGTGTCTTAGCAGGTTATCAGATAGCCCCCCCCCCCTCCCACATGAGCGTAGGGGCCCCCCACTCAGAAAAGAAGTACCCAAGACCCAGCGTGGAGGGTCCCCGAACGACTGAGCGTGCCCAAGCAGCCCATCAGATGGCCCCAATAGCAGTGTAGGGCCCTAAGCAAGTGGCAAAGACGCCCCAGACCAATGTAGAGGGCCCAGGAACATATCGCAAGTGTGTCGATAAGTTAACCGAGATCCACGTAAAGGGCCCCTGAGCAACCGAGAATACCCCGGCAGGTTAAAATATGGGACCCCGGCTACAGCTCACAGAGCCTTTGTGGCAAATGGAAAGAACCCGTGGAAGGGCCCACAATTGACGAGGGTGCCCTGGCACGCGAACAGGAAGGGCCCCAACAACAGCGCAGAACCCTCCGAGCAAATGCAAAGAAATAGAGAGCAACGTGGAATGTTTCTTAACGATTGAAATGATACTGCAAGTGAGCATGTCGGTCCCCCGAAAACAGCATGGTCCCCTAAACGGTTGAATGGGGAAAGAGAATCTTCCCCGTTTACTACCCTACTCTCAATAGTGCCAACAATCGTAGCGATCTAAAGAACATCGCAGCCGGTTTGTAAACACCCACGGCGCCCCGCCCAACGCCGAAAGTAATGCACACAGCGTCGCGCCAAGCCATCCGATAAGTGCCTGATGAGCTCCTCAGTATACCGATTCAGGATTTGCATCTCGTCACATCCATCGCACCATTGTCTGGTGTACTTCGTTGTCTCGTCTCGCCCTCTCATGCAGTACGACGCGAAAATAAAAGCCTGTCAACAGGCGGCTCACACCGTACACCCGTCAGCCGACGCTGGCGTTCCGTCGCGGTGGGGCGGGGGACGAGCGCGGCCGCCCGCCCGCCGTATCTCGTCGGCGTCTGTTGGCGGCGTGCGTGTCGGTGCTTGTGACGTTAAAAGTCTCTAACTCCTGACCTTCCCTGCGTATGGATGGTACAGACAATCTAGGCCACTCCCAGAAACACTGAGGTAGGTGGTGAGCATCTTTCCGACCCCGTAATCTTGCCAGGAAACAAAAGTGTCGGTCGGCCGGACGCCAGTGAGCCCCTCCCGGCGCCCAGCGGGCAGGGAGGGTCGCCGGGGAATTCACGGACCGTGACCACAGGCCTCGCGGCGCAGGTCGTATGGAAGAACACGTTTATGAATGTTGTGCTTAAATCCACCACACATCAGGGTGTGTCCCCTGAAATGGAATGCCACTGTTCTGTTATGCTCTGGTAAGCTATAGTCTTAAGCTACTACCACCATGCATTAGTTATATCATGTTAAAACAATGACCCAGCATTCGGGAGATCCACGTTAAACCTGCAATCGCCAAGCAGCGTTCCGCTTCCCGCCAAGTTCTGGAAGGCAGCCCGCTTCCGTTCCTGAATGGGATCTGCTCGGATACGAGGCCTGTTAGCGATGTAATCGGTGCACCGACGGGAAAATACGACTGCAAAGATGAATGAATGAAACAATAGTCACGAATGGCGATGCTGCTGTGGAGCAATCCATGTGTTGCGTGATTTGTGCTGTCTTCTACAGCTGGTGGGCCGTGAGTGATCTTGCGCATTTATAGTGGACGTGCATGTGGGACGACCAAAAGGGCTACTTGCCGGACGGGACTAAGTCTGGTAAATGAAGTTATTGAAAGTGCGTTGTCTTAGAGGTTGAAGAATGTATTGAGAAGATTGAAAGGAGCGTTCCAGATTTCCACATAACGGCCGCCAATTGGCTCTTAATGAATACCGTGCATGGTATTTGACGTAATCAAAGGCATGTGGAGGCGCGTATTTATTAGACAGAGAAATTATGTTGTCTCAAGCAGTCTTTTCCATTTGAAATTATATCAGTTGTGGAAGTTAGCGTATTTCATCATCTATGATGCATGCTTTA